AATTTAAATGATCATAATCTGAATGTATAGAGGAGTTGAAGGCTTTTAAAGTTGTGTAAAGAAAATGTGAGAAAAGGGCCAATTTAAAAATTCCGTAATGTATTTCTAATAAGAAAAATTGGTTGGAAAACCTGGAATATCTCGGAAGAATGTTAGGAAAATTTTGAATATAAGCGGAAATCTCCTGAAGTTTGAATGGTTTTTAATACGTTGAAGTAAGTGGAAGGAATTAAAAAAATAAAGGTACTGCTAATGACACCCACAGCATTAAAAATAGCACAAAGAAGTAGTTGGATACATCTTTCCCATTTGCAGAAAAAACCTATATGGGTTTTAGATAGGAAAGTCTGACTTCAAAGGGGGGCGTCCTTATAGTGGGCGTTCGTCTCAATGTCAGTGAAGATTAGATGGTGTTGAATTCCTTAGGAGCTTAGGAAAATGGGGAAGTTAAGTATCTTACTGCTGCTAAACCTGATACTGTTAATTTACCTACTGAAAACATTATTTACAACTTCAGATGAACTTAAGGAAGTAAAGAGAAGTGACAACAACAATAATCCTCACATCCTGGGTGACAACCAATCAAAAATCACATTCAGCTGTTCTGAAGGCGACCATGTGCAGAGAGGAAACCTGAGAGATAGTGAGCAGGGGTATGAATCACCCAGACGGACACCACAGTTGCTTCATGTGGTGAAGACACTGAGAACTTTACCATAGCTTAACTGCTACTAGGCGTTTGTGTTATTCTGTTTACAATGGGATTTTGTGTATGCTTGTTTTGTCAATAAACACTGATACTTATGTTTATTAAAGGTACATCAAAAAAAATAAATAAATAAATAAATAAAAAAATGGTGGAAGAATAATATTAATAAAGATATGAATAAAATATAGTGGGATTGCGAAGAATTCCCAGTCAATGAAATAAAATAAAAAGAAAAAGATTTATTTGAAGTGAACATGTGGTACAGATATGTAAAATATCTAGTAAAAATGAAGAATCAGTCTAACTTCTATGTCTGTACTAGGAATTCCCTAACCATAACAAAAGTGTATGTGTTTTCTGTAGCTGTACCTGAATGACAGCAGACTGATAATAGGGCCTTAGTGACTTTAATCCTAACTGTTGTAACTTTCCAGACCAGTGTGGCAAATTTAACCTCTGCAGTTAGTTTTATTCCTTTGTTGAGCCACTCCAGAGTAAAAGAAATTAGCAAACAGAGTCAGACCCGACTTATGTAGATAGTTCCTCGTGAGGTACCAGATGAGTATAAACTAGTAAATCAAGTTGCTGCAGTCTTTGAGTCTCTCGTCTGTCCTTGGTGTACAATGAACAAAAATATAGATCGAATCAGAATCAACTACATCCATTTCAACGTTCAAAAGCTAGGTAATTGGACTGAGGCTGGTTTTCAGGCCGTTCACTCGCAGTTATCTGCAACATCCCTGATGGCTTTCCAAAACCGTATAGCCCTTGACATGCTGCTGGCAGAAAAAGGAGGTGTATGTGCCATGTTTGGAGAAACGTGTCGCACGTTCATTCCTGATAACGCTGCTGCTGATGGCAGCCTCACTCGAGCCATAGAGGGCCTAAAAAACGCTTCACAGCAAAATGAAAGACCACTCAGGAATAGATAACTCCTTGTGGGATGATTGGATGAATGTATTTGGAAAATACAAAAATCTTGTAGATTCAGTCCTAATCTCTGTTGCTGTTTTTGCAGCTAATTTGACCTTGTGTGGATGTTTTTGTATTTCTGTATTTGTTCTCTTCTTAACCGTCTTATCACCACAGCATTGTCCCCTGTGGAGCAGCAGATGCAGGAACTGTACCCGCTGCTCCATCAGCAGGACGAGGAGGACAGACTTGATGACACTCAATGGCCTGACCTGTGCCCCAATCCGGATGATGAGTATAATTCTGACTAAAGCAACATCTTGTACCTCCGTGTATAAATTCTTTGTAGTTATAAACATGAACTCGCAGCTAAGAAATCGAGAGAAGTGGCTGAACTAGAGGGATTATGAGAATTTGAGCAAAGTAATGATAAACAGGAGGGAAATGTTAGAATAATGTACATAAATGTATATAGAAGTTATCATTATTCCTCATATTCTTATGTAAGAGTTTATACTACAAATATAAACTCTTTGACATCTTTTTATACATTATATTAGAGTATTTTTATCATATGAGAGTTTTCCTAACTTCTCTCTCTTCAATAGCTTTACTACACAGTACACAATGTTTTTTCTGTTTGCTATGACCGTGTTTCTCTTATCAGCAGGTCTGGGTGTGGGGGTGACGTATTCTCCGCTGAATCGTGGGAAGCTCCTGAGAAGGATCCATCCTTATCAGAAGGAGCTCGTTAGATGCCGCCTTGACCTTCAGCTATTCATAAATTGTTCATTATTAAATGCTTACTTTGCAGCACATTTACTCCCACCTTTTTAGAAACATTGTGTAACCAGGGACAACTGTGAATAAAAGGGGCGGACAGAGAAAGTATCCTTAGTGTGGTACTGAGATAGCCAAAACATATCTCTGTCCATTTACTCAAACATATCCATTGTCTTTCTCCTTTTTATTTCAGGTAAATGCAAGCAGGTTTTAAACCTAACACATGTCATATGTGAACATGTGAAATACTGACTTAAATATGCCTTTCAAAATAAAAAAAGTCAAAAAAGAGGAATGTCCTCTTCTGAACTTGTGTTTAAACCTGGTAAGAGTAAAAAGGAATTACATCTCTATTATAGCCCCAGAAGCAAAAAAGGAAAATTGTACCTCTAACAGCACTCCCAGCTTCCCAGAGCTCTGCATTTCTCAATCTTGAGTCATACAGTTGTACATTTTTGCAATCACTGGAGTCTGCCTCCTCGCTGGGTGAAGCCAATCCGAGAACAGCACCCTCTGTTGATGGGCTGCAGTATAGGTCATAAATCCCGCCTCCGCCAGCAAAGCTTATGGGACTGTGGACAAACTTAAGAAATGTATTACACACAACATAATTTTTTCTCCCCCCTGCTTGTGATGTTGACATGTAGTTACTGTCAGACTGGTTTGTGCTCAAGTCCTCTATTTTCTGTAAAGATCCGTTTTTAAAAGTTATTAGGGGGTTCATGTTTTCTATGATTGACACCTGATACAGCCTATGGGCGTTCAGGGATTGCGTAGCTCTCCCGGGGGATACGCTGTTTGAGCCGAGCGTCATCACAGCGACTCTCTGCGACTGCGCGGCCGAATGCGCGCATTGCTACTGCACAGCGCTGGTTTCGGGAAATGAAGAAAAACCCCGGAAACATCAAGAGCTATTTGGCTTCAAATCCATATACAGGTGGTAGGCGGAACCAAGTTGTCCATAGTATATACAGTCTATGGTTTTGGCTAACTGACATGAAGAAATGTCTCATTTGGTTATTAATCTCAGACTTTGATGGGAGGTCTTTCTGCAGGACTGAAATTGATTCACATGACAAAATAAGCCACAAGGATAGATGACAATATTAGGTCAGGGACAGTTTAAGAAACTAGAGGACCCTAAAACAGGAAGAAAAAAAAGTAGATAGATAGATAGATAGATAGATAGATAGATAGATAGATAGATAGATAGATAGATAGAGGGTGTGTGTGTGTGTGTGTGTGTGTGCGTGCGTGCGTGCGTGCGTGCGTGCGTGCGTGCGTGCGTGCGTGCGGGTGGGTGGGTGTTAGCATCTGTGATTGACAGAAACAGACTGCTGCAACAGCTGAATCCCTGTCTAGATTCAGTACAAAGGTTAGAGCTATTAATATGCACAAACTTAAACACTCACACAGACACACACACACACACACACACACATAATGTAGCAGTCTGTATCTCATATCACTCATTGCTCTTAATTAATTTATGACTTTTCTGGGATTCTGGTCTGGCTTGTCGTACTCTCAGCCTCTAGTGGCAATAATGAATAAATTCGCCCTGCCAGCATGGAGGAGTCAATGTCATTGGCTTTTTCCTGGATCCTTTAGTCATCTCAGTAGGAGCAATGTGACACCTCTGAGGCCCAGGAGGTGTATGACGAGGGTGAGAACACACTCTGTATTTTTATCTGTGCGTACGTGTGTGTGTGTGTGTGTGTGTGTGTGTGTGTGTGTGTGTGTGTGTGTGTGTGTGTGTGTGTGTGTGTGTGTGTGTGTGTGTGTGGAGGAGGGTTGTGTCAGTGACAGAGGAGGACACAGAGGCTACAGTAACTACAGACAGTTAAAAAAGGAGGGGTATTCTGTGCAATGACTCTCAGGGTAACAGAGGTGGACATCGCTGAGTGGAATTCAGTTTTAGCTTCTGCATTTCTGCAGAGCTGATCCAGAGGAGCTCAATGACATACACTGCAGCACAATCGAAAGAAAACAGGAGGGAAACACTTGGAAAAGCAGCCACACAAGGACAGAGAGGACTGACACTTTTATGCAGCCCTAGGAAAACCGAAAGAGACAGAGAGATAAAGTTATGTGCAGCAAAACTTGTAGTATAGCAGATATTCTTTAGATTCAGGAGGAGCGCTCTTTGGATTGTTGGTTTGTGGTTGCATTTCACAGCATGCGTATTTGTAGTCTTAGAAATGCAAGAGGCCAGCTGCCATTCCATTCATGTTTGACTGTAACTCCGCTTATGGACGCCAAACACTAACAGCTTTAACCAGCAGCCTTCAGACAACAAGCTGATGCTGCTATTCTTGCACTGCAAAACTCTAGTTCCTTCTGAGTGGACTGACTGAGTCAAAGGAGACGTTTGGAGTGCTCAAACTGGATTGTTGACATATGTAACAGGTAATCCACAGCATCAGCCAATGTGTGAAGTGCATTCTGGACAGGATTACAGACTGATCACATGAAGCAGTGAAAGCTACAGTCTTTAGGCTGAAGTGGATCATTTTCACAAACACGCTGCTGCATTTAAAGCTAACCATTATAACAAAGAGTTTAAGTTCCTTTGCAAGGTTGGTTCTGGGTCAAGATGTTCCTCAACACGGTGCTGATGGTCCTGACGGACCTGGCGGCCCGGTTCCTGGGTAACACGGTATTCCGGCAGCACTTCCACCTGTTGCTGTCAGCAGTGGTGGTGTTCGGTCCCGCTATGAGTCTCTGGGTCTCACAGCACAGCATCTTCGCCAAAAGGAGTCACTTTCTCTACAGGTGAGGCTGCATCCTGTCTGTCCTGCTTGAACCAGGACAGTATTATAAGGCCACTGAATCTCCCACAATGCACTTCTGTAACTGTTTTTAGGAGATGCTCAGTTGACTGCAGCTGTCACTATTTTAATAGTTAATTTTTGCAGTGTGAAGTATTTCACTGCATTTAGCAGAATATGCAAAAAAAAAAAAAAGGTCAAATGATGTTTGAATGTTTAAATGAGTGTATAATCACCTGACTATAAATATGTTTGTTGTCTGTATGAGCTCAAGTAAGTGGTGGGTGTTAACGTAGAAGCAGGTCACCTTCCAGAGAGGCCGCCATCTATGACCATCATGTTTTTACAGTAGCACAGAATGGACAAACTGCAGCAAATCTACAAATTTGATATGAGTATGGACAGCTATGTTTTCAATCCAAAAAACAATTCTTGTTTGTAATATGTACAGAAAAAGTTCCAGGACAAATCACCCCCTATATTGTGTTCATTTTAAAGTTTGAATCTATGCAGCTCAGTGATGCAGCATGGTTATTTCCTTTTCAGATAGTCTTTGCAACTAAAATAACCAAAACAACAACACACCTTTATTACCCATGAACACTGTTACTACATAAGTCATTCATGCTTGTTCCAAAGAAAACATATTACCCACTTTGCCATCACTTTGGCTGCTCATGAATGTGCTGACATAGCGGCCCCTTTGTTGTCTTCTTATTGCCCACTTTTGAAATGAAGGACTGTGATTGGATCAGTTTATTTGACATTGAAGGAAGGTAATTTAGAGCCACCCAAGAGCACCTGGCTGCAGACACATGAACAGCTGAAGGTTGGACCTCCACTTTGATCTCAGCTGTTATTGGGAAATGGGTCCATTTTAGCAGTGAAAGTTGTATTTTTCACATACTTCAAAGGTAAAAGTCAACAGACTCAGAGTTTTATATTTGACTTGTTAAGTTCAGAAGTCATCTTGGTGTTGAAATTGTGTAGCTCTGCACTTGCACAATCAGACCTTTGTGGACACATGCTCAGTTGAAAGTTTACCTCTGTTTGCAGTTTTAATATTAAACACATAAGTCCTTTCTATAAAGACAAAGAGCAACTTTCCCTGGTGAGATAGTTTAATTCCTCTTAACATCTGAGATGCAAGTGAGGGTCCAGTTTTCAACTGGCACATGCCAATGGAGGTCTGCTGTCTGCAACTAGGTCCTTTTCCATTCAAAAGTGCCTCTGGAAGTGACTGTATAGACCTACAACCAACCAGATTAATGCAGCATGTGACATAGCAACAGAGGTGTAAATGGACAGCAGCAGTGTGCAGAGTAAAGAAACACACCTTTCTAACCAATCCATGCTAGTTGGGCATTTTTTAGGTCTGTGTTGAATGAAAATTCATCACCTAGCTAGTTTGTAAGGGGGACATAACAGATTCAGAGGGCCTCCTTACAGCAGAAGCTGCCATCTTGGTTGGTTAGAAATATGCTGTGTAGTCATGGTATAGAACCTGCCCTATTTTTAATACAGAACTTTGCTTGGCTAGGCAAATCTTACAAAGAGGTGAAATCATTCAAAGTGACAGTGGTAACAGAAAAACAGCCAGCAAAAATGATCAAGAGCTGACTGCTGGCTCTTTGGTGTCTTTTTTTTTTTCTTGGTTTTGACCAAACCTGATCATAAACCTCTCAGGACTACCTTGTGTTTGTTTTTGTACCCAAGCCTCAGCCTATTATTATTATTATTATTATTATTATTATTATTATTATTATTATTATTATTATTATATTAACATATTATTTTAGTTTTTTTTAGATTATTCACACATTTGAGGCTAGAGAAGATGACATCTCAGCTCCTTCTCAAAATTTACTGTACCATAAGTGGAGTGAAACATACCATAAATCCATCCTCACCAAATGTAACTTTTTCTCCAAAGTCAAAACAATTTTGTTTAAAAATGTCAAAATCATAAATATGAAGCAAATAAAACCCTCCATTATTAGACGTGTATATGAGACAAGAAATGAGTCTCATATACAGTAAACTTGATAAGACCAACAGAGGAGGGATCAGTGGACAGAAAGATTGACAGTTTGGATGATGATGATGATGTCCTGGATTAAACATAAATGATCCCCATCTTTCTTTCGTATGCTTTTAAAATAACTACACCTTCCTCTCCTTGCAGGATGTTCTTGCGCTCTGGTTGGGGCTGGACCTGTGTCTTTGTTGGCTCCTTTGTTTTCCTCCTGTCCTTCTCCATCCGGCGCTCCCTCTCTCTCTCCATGCGCCACCTCTCTCGGCTTGGAGTGGCTGGTGGTCTGTGGCTTGGTTTCTGTAAACTCCTGGACCTCCTTGAGAACGCGACAGGGAGCTGCTATGAGCCTCTACTCAGCAGCCCAGAGGTCACCAATGGGCAGCCTCTGTTGGTGCTGAGAGAGGGGGAGAGTAAGTCCGAGTGCCTCAAAGCTGGGATGCTGTGGAGAGGGTATGAAGTGTCAGAGGACGTCTTCCTCCTCTGTCTATGCTGCCTCTTGCTGGCAGAGGAAACAGCTGTTTTTGGCCCGTACCTGAGCCTGGGCGGGATCTCAGATGCCCCTCTCAGGATCCTCTTCCTCTTCTGTGTCCTCTTGCTTGGCCTCTGGATCTTCCTGCTGCTCTGCCTCTTGGCTTATTTTCCTCAGTTTCCCACCCAGCTGCTAGGGGGCGCTCTGGGGTGTCTGAGCTGGAGAGGACTGTACCAGGGCTGGTACCGGCTTGGGCCCAGCTGGTGCTCACCTGGAAGACCTGGACAGGGGCTGCTCAACACTAAAAACAGTATATCCGAAGCAGATGATGCACAACTGAGCAACGAGCACCTCAACTAACAGGAAATACTCCAAAGGGGGTGAATTGAAAAGTTTGAGGAGTCCCTCGTGATAAAGCATGAAAATAGAACTTGTTTGATGTAAGAAAGAATCGCAGTGACAGGAGTTTCCTCCTGACCTGACTTTAGGACATGAGAAAACTTTTGCCTTATAAATAAAGCTGAAAATGAGTAATGTTACTCTTGAATGTATAGCTCAGATGTTGTTTGTCAAGCATAAAAAAATTCAGGATGACTTTACTGGAATTGGCATTACCTCTGATGGGACCTCTGATCATTTGTAAAAACTGGAAGAACAAGTGAACAGAACTTTATCAGTTATGTGCAAAGGAACAGTTCACTTTCTGTTTTTTGTTCCTCATATAATTTTAATCCCAGCTGACTCTGCTCCTCGGTTGATTTGGCAAGGTCAATACAATAAAATACAATAATTCAAAACAACAACTTTATTTATCCCCAAACTTTTTCATTTCTCTGTAATCTCAGATAAACTGCAGATAGACAAAGTTATAATCTGACTTGCCCAGTGGTGGTAAGGCAGTGTCTCTGTAGGCTTCTTTGACGTTGGCATACAGCAGATCCAGGGTTTTGTTCTCTCTGGTAGGACAGTTCACAAACTGTGTAAATCCAGTCAGGTAAGAGGAGAGGGTGACATGGTTGAGGTCTCCTGATATTATTAGTGCCTCAGGGTGAACTCTCTTGGAAAATAATATGGCCGAAGAGCAACTGCCAACAATTCAATACCTGGACAACACAACTTCTCCTTGACAGTTATGTCTGAAGGGTTACACCATCTCTGGTTGACAAATAAAGCCAGAACTCCTCCTTTCTTCTTGCCACTAGCTTGAGCATCTCTGTCTGACCTTATAGAGTGAAGCCAGGTAGATCCACACTGGAGTCTAAGTTGTTTTGATTCAACCAGGTTTCAGTAAAACACAGGAAACTGCACTCACGGTATGCTTTCTCAGTCTTCATCAATATTTCCAGCTCATCGCTTTTGTTGGGCAGAAAGTTGACATGTCCCATGATGATTGATGGAAGAAAGGGTTTATCTCGCCACCTCCTAGCATTCAGCTTTGCCTTCACCTTTGCACCAGGCAAGCACGATAACACCTCCTGATGTCCTCTGGAATTGTATGTTGTTGTCCTGATTTGCTTTTTCTCAATGAAAGGAGCTCTTCTCTTGAGTAAACTCTTCGCCCAGCTGAAGTATCCATCAGTAGTTGACGAAATATGATTAAAATAAAATGTTAAAAAAAAAAATAGAGTAAAAATTGCAGAAAATTCAGCAAGACCAGACTTTGCTATTTTGTAAGTGAGTGCAAGTTCTAGAGACCGTTGCTTGGTTGGGCATCATCTGCTTCACTTAAACTGATCTCAATTGTGTCTATTGTATATTGCAATGACAGCATTTTCCATGATTGTTCTGCTGTATGTAAACACCTACTTTCAAAAAGAGCAAACTCAAGCCATTAAAGGTACAATAAGGAGTTGTTTAACTGATCATTTCACTTTAGTATCTTTTAATGCTTAAAAACACAGTGAGAGGGAAGGTGAAGGTGCAGACTGAAAAAAAAAATTCTGACAAAACACTAACAGCAAGTAATAAAATTTATCATTAAATGACAACAAAATTAGGTTTTTATCTGAAAAAACTACTCTCACATGTACATAGTAAGAGATAAGAGGCCTCACTTTGTCCACAGGGGGCATCAGAACCAATATCATCCAAAGGTTCCCATCAGCAGCTTTAAAATATCCAAATGTTTAAGAGTGATTAGACGGATGACATGCTTTGTAGCATGTGACAAGGAACATTTTCTGTCTTCAAAATGCTTCATCACAGTTTATAGTACTAACAGGATAAACACGTCGTCTTGGTGGAGTTACTCTTGGTTCCCACTGCAGAACTAAGGGGTCTGTTGCACCAGTTCTGTTTAAGTTGTGTCTTGAGCTATGGTGAAAAGTCCACACTAAACTACAGTATATTTAGACTAACTATCTTATAGCTGACAGAGGAGGTATTGTGCTTTTTTTCAGACTCTCTGATACCTCTTTAATAGTTTTACATGATTTTCAGGTTTAAAACAGCCTCAAATCTCTCACTCTGGTGTATTAAAATATCATTATTTCAGCCTCTGTCATTTTCGCTGCTGTCTCTTTCAGGAATCTTTATTGGCCAAGCATGTGTACGCATACAAGGAATTTGACTCTGGTTAGCTATACCCTCAATGTACAAACATTAAACATTAAGGGCTCTATTTTCGTGTACGCCGGTGAGGCGGTGGAGGGTGGCGGACCCCGCGTAGTTGTATTTTCGTCTGGCGGAGCCCGGCGTACAGCCAGTTTGGTATTTTTCGTGGACTGATGCGCACGGAGGCGCACTGAGATCCGCCAAGCTGGGCATGGTGGCGTGGCAGGGGGGGTGTCTAAAGTGTCAGGCACATTTCAGTGCAATAAATAATCATCAACAACTATTAATCTGAGTCAGCACATACATTTAGATCTATATAGATATATTCTGATCTATATCTGATCTGATGAGCGCGTTTGGCACGCGTTTGGACACACAACCTGACCGAATCAACACAGCTGAAACCGCATTAAATTAAATTAAATATCTAGTAAATAAACACACATGATGAAGTTAACAAGATATTTAATTCGTCTCCCTCCTTTTCTTTCTTCCTCTTCTCTTATTTCTCGCGCAGCTCGACCTGGACATGTCTCTGTGTCCTCTCCCCGTCCTGCTGCAGCAGCTGAACAGATGATTTGTTTCAGTGCTCAGATGAGTTATCAACTTTAAGCCGACATACGAATATTATAATATTCAGTTTTGTGAGCCAAATTTATTTTATATGCCAACATCTATGAAAGAAAGAGCCAGGCCACGGAGCGCGATGCGTCATTTGTGCACAGATGGTTCCAATTTTAATGCCATTTTTGGAGTTTATGTTGAGATCTGTGCACTCAACCCACCTTTGTCACGTGAGGTTTGAATATATGCAACTTTATGTGAGTGTCTTTATTTGTGGAAAAGGGTGTTTGTCTTACCAGTGGGTCCAACATTACACACACCAAATCCATCTGTGCTCATATGAGAGAGCGTGGAGGATGCCCAATGCAGCGCTTAAAGTGACACTTGTTGAGGAGCTGCCTTCTGTCGCCATCGTGTGGCATTACTGTCTTCAGACATCTCTTGATCTCTTTGACTACTTCACGAAAATAGTACTACGCCTTGCCGGTGGTGGATTTAAAGGCAAGGAGAGGAGCTTATGTGATGAAAACAGGTCTCGGCTGTGTTAAACCCACTCCACGCCCTCTCTCCTCCCTCGCTACGACTTATGCCGCTGGGAGGAGCTGAGTTAGGGAGGAGGGATACTTACACCGGGCTGCGCCGCTCACCAAAATACCAAATTGTACTCGGGAAAGCCTTGTCGGCGTGGCGGACCTGACTAACGCCTGGTTCACACAGGAAGCGCCGCGCACCGAGTTTCGGATCGGCGCCCGTGTTAACCTACGTGATTGTTCACACAGCGCGCACTGTGGAGCGCGGTCGCTCTGCTTCTGTCTAAGCGCCAACTGTAAAGCTGGACAGAGCAGATCGGACCAGACAGGAAGTCGGGAACAGGAGATGTGAGAGAATCCGATCAATTTTCGAAATAAAATATATTTCAATAAATTAGAAAAAAAGGATTTATGGTGTTGCTTGTCGGTCTATTTTTTCCCGATGAACATGCATGCATACACGCACGCACACACGCACGCACGCACACACACACACACACACACACGGAGGGAGAGCTGCGGAGATTCAGTGATGTTAATGAGACAAAGGAGGGGGACTTTATTACGATAGAGTCAATAGCCTCAAGCTAACAAGGCTACACATACAACAGAGTCAACAGACTCCCCAATTTATTCGTTGTTTACCCCTATATAATAATTTAAAACAATACTTGAAGATTGTGCCCATATTTAATTTATGGATGACGTAATAAAAACGTAAATAAATATTGATTTACCCATGTTTAAAGCGCTTGTTAGTGTGGAAAACTGAGGGCAGACGGAAACAGCCGAGCACTACAGGCTCAGTCGATGTCTGACTGTTGCGTCAGAGTGCAGCAAAAATCGCTTTATGTGTGAACAGCCTCCGGCGAGGCACAAAAATAGAGCCCGAAATGTTACAACAGTTACAAGTATGTACAAACCAAGCTAGACATTTAAATTATAAATACAAGAAAGTAGTGCAATAGTACAATAATGAAGAGTGAAGTGAATAGTGGTTGGGGAAAACCAATTTAAGTCGTTATATTACAGTTGAGTTATGTACATTAGGTAAATTTACCCAGTGTTTTAACAGTGTTAACGTTAAAATTAAATATCAAATACCTCGTGCAGAGGTACAGTGTGTGTCTGATGAGAGGACTGTTTTTAGATGAACTGTTTGAACAGATATCGAAGTCTTTTACAGTCTCAGTGGTCTTTCTGTGACTCGTCAGGAGTTCATCAGACCAACAGAAGGGAGGAGTTTAAACAGTTTGTGTCTCAGATGTGAGGGGTCTGCAGTGATGTTACCTGCCTGTTTCCTGACCCTGGACCACTATAGATCCTGGATGGAGGGCAGGCTGGCCCCTATGATTTTCTCTGCAGTCCTGATGGTCTATTACAGTCTGTCCCTGTCTTGCTTGGCGGCGGACTCAAACCAAACAGTGATGGATGTGCAGAGAACAGACTGGATGATGGTGGTGTAGAGCTGGATCAGCAGCTAGGTAGGCTGAACCTCCTGAGTTATTTCAAAATCTCAGAAAAACTTCCAGGATCTGTGAAAACTGGTGAAAAAAGATCTGGCCGAAGGCTGCCAATTGTTAAACAATTGCTCTCTGGTGAAGGTTACCAGAGAAGGAGAGCAGAAAATCAAAACCAAAAACATGAAAAGTAGGTGAGAGTGAAGTACCAAGGCAGCCTGCCACCACACTCTCTTGGTATTACAAGATGTAA